TTAAACTGGGAGTTAACATCATCAGCTCCCCTGATTCTCGGGTCTTCAGACAGACTGAACTACACCACAGGCTTTCCTGGGTCTCCAGATTGCATGTGGAGGATGGTGGAACTTCTCAGGCTCCATAATCATGTGAGCCGATTCCCATGATACATATCCTCTTATATATAAATATACACACATATTATATGTACATTATATATAATATATGTGAGCCACACCACCACCAGGTGTGGTGGCCCACGCCTGTAATCCCAGCGCTTTGGGAGGCCAAGGCGGGCGGAGCATGAGGTCAGGAAATCAAGACCATCCTGGCCAACATGGTGAAACCCCATCTCTACTAAAAATACAAAAAATTAGCTGGGTGTGGTGGTGCGTGCCTGTAGTCCCAGCTGCTCAGGAGGCTGAGGCAGGAGAATCACTTGGACTGGCGGCGGGGAGGTTGCAGTGAGCTGAGATCGCGCCACTATACTTCAGCCTGGCGACAGAGCGAGACTCCATCTCAAAAAATATATATATATATATATATATTACAATTACATAGTATATATTATATCTATTATAATTACATATTATATATAACAATTACATATTATATACTATATAAGTACATATATATAATATATGCATTATATATTCTATATAATATATACATACATTATATATATACACAGTATATGTTATATACACTTTATGTATGTTATGTATATTATATATAATATAGCTAACATAGATATATCTATAGATATACTATATTAGGTTGGTGCAAAAGTAATTGCAGTTTTTAACATTAAAAGTAATGGCAAAACCACAATAAACTTTGCACCAACCTAATATATATAATATGATATGATCTAACATAATATACAGATATATATATATGTATCTCCTGGAGTTCAAAGTCCTTGAGTCCTGGAGCCCCAAACCACCTAGGGCCACCCTGATTGAAGATGCTTAGGCCATGTGGAGGTTCCTTCACTGAAAATCAGAGTCAACTGCCACACTTGAATGAAGACATCTCTGTATGACTTTAGCCTCCAGATAACAAAACACCCGCAGCTACTGTGTCTCTCCAGCTGAGGCCGAGACACCATGGGTTAAGGTCAAGCTATCCCTGTCTAATTCCTAACCCACAGAATCCATGAGCATGATAAAATGGTTGTTTTATGTCACCAAGTTTTGGAGGATCTATTGCACAGCAATAGTAAACCAGAACAGATAAGCATGCCTCCAGCTCCAACTCCATCTCCTTCCTTCAAGAGCTGTCCATTTCACTGAATTCTTCCTAGTTGGCTTTCTGCCTTGGGGGTTGTTTGGACGGGAGTTATTGACTGCAATCTCTTTCTCCATAAAGCTCAGACAAGTTGCAAGCTCCCTGAAGGCAGGGATGAGTTTGTCATTTTGACAATTATAGCTCAACACCAGCCACACTGCCTGGAGCATAAGAGTAGGCCGTTTCAGTTATCTATCACATTCTTGAAGCCATCCCAAAGCTTACTGACTTAACATGGGGGTCAGCAAATTATTGTCCACAGGCAAGTCCAGCCTGCCAGCTCTGTTTCTAAATAAAGTTTGATGGGAACACAGCCACACTCACTCATTTACATATCGTCTCTAGCTGCTTTCACTCTACAGTGGCAGAAGTGAGGAGTTACGACAGAAACCATAAAGCCCTCTTGTGTCGCCTAAAATATTTATTATCTGGCCCTTTACAGAAAATGTTTATGGGTCCCTAGCTCAACACAACAATAATTTATTATTTTTACAACTTGTGTGGTTGGCTGGGCTCAGCTGAGCAAGCTTTTCCCCTCTGCACGGTCACTAATGAGACTGCATTTGTCTGAGAGCTTGGCTGGTGCTAAGACATTCAGGGTGGTCTCCCTCATATGACTGGGGCCTTGGTGCTGTTGTCTCGGTCATCTTGCTGGGCCATCTCAAATCTCTTCCACTTATCCTTCCATTCTCTGTCTCTCTCTCTCTTTCTCTGTCACTCACCTCTCATCATTCATTAACTCATCTCAAGTTTTTCTATTAAAGCTTCCAAGAAAGAAAGCAAAAGCAGAAGCTACCCACCCTCTTTAGATCATGCCCAGGATTGCTTGAGGATCACTTGAGCCCAGGAGCTCAAGACCAGCCTGGGTAACATAGCAAGCCTCCATCAATACCAAAAATTTTTTTTTTTAATTTAGCCAGGCATAGTGGTGCACGCCTGTAGTCCAAGCTATTTGGGAGGCTGAGGTAAGAGGACTGCTTGAGCCCAAGAGTTGAAGCAGCACTTCCACTGTATTCTATCAGTCACAGCAAGTCACAGGGTCAGCCAAGATTGAAGGGGGGAGACCGCCCACTCCTGGCTGGGTGGAGCAGCATGGCTGTTTCTTTGATGCAATCTACCACATAGAGCACACAGTCACTATTTGCTGGGTGAATGCAGGAGAGCTCACAAAGGCATACAAGTAGAAAGAAAAGTGAGCAAGAAAAAGGCAATGCCCTGAACTATACATCCTAGCTTATCACATAGAAGGCCAAGTCTGCACGAGCTTCCTCAGCAGGTAGGGCCCAGTGGAGCCTAAGAAGAGAAGAGCTTCCCACTGCGTATGGAAAGAACATGAAACAAATCATATGGTCAATGTAACCATCTGGGGAAGGGAGGAGCTGCAGGGGTGCGGTGGAGGGGAAATTAGACTGGATCTATACAGCAAATTATACTGGATCTATACAACTCTCTCCAAAAAAGTGCAACAACCAGACTTCAGGTGTACCAGCTTTTTTTTTTAAGAATTGTCTAGAAGATTTTCCAGCTTTTACCCAAACCCTCCTCTCTCTCTCTCTCAATCTCTCTCTCTCTCACACACACACACACAAATAGACTTCATAGGTTAATGGCTGTCTCTCTCTCTCACACACACACACACACACACACACACACACAGACTTCATAGGTTAATGGCAGACAAGAGCTAATAGGAATTGAGAGGGAGGCAAAGCAATGAACTATTGTGTGTGTCTACAGCTTCTGGATGAGTGTATTCAATAGCCTTCTACGGTACTGGTCATACGTCAGACCAGATAGCTGATCTCAGTGGATACGACTTCTCAGGCTGTGAGTTCTGTTACGGCAGCATCTGACCCAGGTGGTTAGTTTATAGGCTTTGAAGTACTTGTTACAATCCAAGGCAGGAATGTGGTAGTCTTCAACAATATTGGAGTGTTATCCAATGCTGTTGGATATTGTCTTTCAATGGTATACATAGATTGCAATGAACAAAGCTAGCAACTCAGCAAGTGAAATGACTAGAAGAAAATGATTCCTACTTATTATTTCATTGAATCCTGTGAAGAAGTTAAAATTTACCCATTTCATAGAAGAGAAAACTGATCATTCATGGTGGCTTATGCCTATAATCTCAGTGCTTTGGGAGGCCAAGGTGGGAGGACTGCTTGAGGCCAGGAGTTCAAGACCAGTCTGGGCAACATAGCGAGACCCCATCTCCACAAAATGTACACTATTGGGGTGATGGGTATACTAAAAGCTCAGACTTCACTATACAATGCGTCGTTGTAACACGACTGCACTTGTGTCCCTAATTCCATAAAAATATAAAATTAAATACTTTTTTTAAAGAACACTTTCTTTTTTTTTTTTTTTGAGATGGAGTTTCACTCTTGTTACCCAGGCTGGAGTGCAATGGTACGATCTCGGCTCACCGCAACCTCCGCCTCCTGGGTTCAGGCAATTCTCCTGCCTCAGCCTCCCAAGTAGCCGGAATTACTGGCATGCACTACCATGCCCAGCTAATTTTTTGTATTTAGTAGAGACGGGGTTTCACCATGTTGATCAGGATGGTCTCGATCTCTCAACCTCGTGATCCACCCGTCTCGGCCTCCCAAAGTGCTGGGATTACAGGCTTGAGCCACCGTGCCCGGCCTAAAGAACACTTTCTTTAAAAAAACATCTAGCTCCAGGCTTGACTTCTCACAGAAACTCCAAGCCTTCATTTGGTAGCTACACGTACATCTCAAAATTAACAGGGTTGAACAAAACTTTTGACTCCCTTACAAGTTTGCTCTTCGCATTTTTCCCATCTCGGTAAATGGCACTGCTAGTCAGCCACTCAAAGCTCACATTCCTGCGAATCCTCAGTTTTATCTCGCCCTTTCTATCCAGCAGCTCCACAGTGCTTTCCCATATCAGTGAATACATAGGTAACAAGATGGAGAAAGTGAAATGTTCACCAGGAATCCTCTTGGGGTCAGCAGGCCATGTGTTAGGAAGAAATAGCTAATGACACATTTAGAGTAGTTTAAAACTCAAAAGGTAAGTTCAAGGAATTAAAGATGATTTCTCAACTATTTTGGAATAATGGATCCTGTTAAATCGAGATTTTTCAAAGGTTCTTCTTGAAAATGAGAACACAGTTCAGGGTCAGAAACTGTGACAGCTCTGCTTAAGCTGGCGAGGATGGGGAGAAATGGGAATATTTGCATGCTGTTGTGATAATAAATTATTACAACCTCTATGGAATACAGCATGGAGATTTCTCAAAAAGCTACAAATAGAACTACTATTCAATCCAGCAATCCCACTCCTGGGTACCTAGCCAAAGGAAAGAAAATCATTATATTAAAAACGCACCTGCACTCACATGTTTACCACAGCACTATTCACAAAAACAAAGTCATGGAATAAACCTAGATGTCTATCAACAATGATTAGACAAAGAAAATGCAATATGGAATACTACTCAGCCATAAAAAGAATGAAATGATGTGTTTGGCAGTAACACAGATGGAACTGGAGGCCATTATCCTAAGTAAAACAACTCAGAAATGGAAAGTCAACTACCACATGTTCTCACTATACCCAGTAAAAATGGAAGTAAATTCATATACCTTAGGGATCAAGAAACAGGTAAAAACAAGCATCTTTGAACAGGATAGTGTGACCAGAACACCACCATTGCTGTAGCTACCATTGTCATAGCTACCATTACACACTTCCACAGATGCTTCCAAGCATGAATTCCAGTTGGTTCTTATCTCTGCTTCACTTGCTTTTAGAAGCAAAGACCCAGGAGGAGGCTTCCAGTTGGTTGAGCAGGGGCATATGGGCCACCAAGGGGCCCAAATAGAAGGTCTCCGTTTTCTATAGGTAGGTGCACATTCATTCCCTGACATTTCACTCAGTGAGAGAGTTCTCCAAGGCAGGAAATGGGGCTAGATTTCGGAACTCAAAAATAAGGATGACCAAGTCCTCTAGGAAAGGATGACATAGATTTGCTGTGACCTTGACCCTGTCCCTCTCTCATTCCCACTCTACTTTTTCATAGTTGGACTTCTCAGACCTGGATTCTCTACCATAGGGTTTTTCTTCAACGGCCCTTGTGGCTGATGGGAGAATTCTGTATTCACAATCTACTAAGGCAGCCGCACAGAAGATCTCTTGACCAACAGTTTCATGACCGACCTTAAGGAAGCATTGGAGACGTTCATATAGTCACGACTATGCAAAGAGACACATGCCTTCTTCCTATGAAAATAATGCCCAGGGAATCACTGCATACTCGAGCCCTCCAACTGCAGGCCAAGTGACTTTGAGCAAGTGAGCTTTCTAAGACCTGGATTTTTGCAACTATAAAGTGAGGTTAACAATCTCTGTCTTATAGGATTATTATGAGAAGTAAATGCAATAACACACAAAAGGGTCTGGCAAACTGCCTGGCACAGAGGAAGGTCTCAGATATAAGAGTTGGTTTATCATCTTTAAAAGTTTGTAAGATAGTTAGAAAGACCAAATGTATCCTTTCTGTGAGCTGAAGAGTTTTGAAAACCATGCTATCCAGGAGTTTTCAAAACGGATTGAGCTGCCCAATTCCCATTTACAAATTCATGGAGCTCCCATATATAAAACAAATAAAGCTGAGCTGTTTGGCTGGAGCTTTGCAGAGCTTGGAACCTGGCCTGCTCAAATGCTCCTTCATGTTTTTCTTTCTGCCTCCATACAGCAGTTACATCTATCAGAAACGCTCAGACCCCTCTGCAGAACTGGAGCACTCCAGAAAACCACCGACGCCAATCACTTACTCTACAGAGGGGAAATGTGAGTTTCAGAGAGAAGTCATTTTCTCAAAGGCTCTGTAACAAGTTCCTTCTCTATTGAAAGGCAGTCATTCCTCATACTTAAAACTCATCTTCAGGATGAATAGATAAGTAATAAAGCAAGCAGAACCGAATGTTAATGGTAGAATCTAGGTGACAGATGTATGCGTGTTCACTGTACCATTCTTCTAAACTGGCTGTATATTTGAACATTTCTGTAATAAAATGTTGAGGAACATTTGTAAAATAAATCTAAACTTTGCGGTCAGAGGCCAATGAAGTTTCTTAAAAAAATTAAATGGCCTCAGGTTTACAGTTTATCAACTTAAAGCTATTTAAAGAAGCATTTCCCTGAATTGTGTGATGCTGTCAAGGGGTAAGTTTCAGATTCTTTTTCTTCTCAGGATATCCAAGGCCACAGTAAAACATGCGCTGGCTGTGGATTTCTCTTGGAGACCAAAATTACCAAAAAAAAAAAAAAAACCATGGAAACACTTTTATGTTATTTATTTATTATTTTTCAGAGATGGGGCCTCTCTCTGTTGCCTAGGCTAGAGTGCAGTGGCCTGATCATAGTTCACTGTTGCCTTGACCTCATGAGCTCTAAGTGAGTCTATCCCCTCAGTTTCCAGGTGGCTGGAATTACAGGCACACACCACCATATCTGGCTAATGTTTTAATTTTTTTTGTAAAGAGGGGCTCTCACTATGTTTCCCAGGCTGGTTTCGAACTCCTGGCCTCAAGTGATCCTCCCAACTAGGCCTTCCAAAGTGCTGAGATGACAGGCACTAGATGACATCCAGCCAGAAACCCTTTCGAGAGAGCGAATCTATAGAAGATATCATGAGCAATTTAGAAAAGTTACAAATCCTGGACAAAGAACTGACTATACCACTTCCATGCTATTGCAATTACTGTAGCTTTGTGTTAGATCAGACAACATAAACGTGTATCAAAACATCACGTAGCACACCATATACACACACACACACACACACACACACACACACACACACACATATATATAAAATTTTTGTGAATTAAAAATATTTTAAACCCAACTATAGAATCTAGAAATAAAACTTTTATTTGTAAAAAGGAAAATTGTTCATAGATTTGTGTTGATAATTTTATCAGAGGTGTAATCTTCCTATATGCTCACACACAGTGTACAGACAAGTGAACACCTCTAGGAGTTGGTCAGAAGCAACTGAGAGCAGAGGTCCAGGTTCTCAGGCCATGCCATGGGTGCAAAAGAGAATAATGAATGCAGAAGAGAAAGAATCTAGTAATGCTTAAAAAAAAAAAACCAACAACAAATAATTGTTTCCATGTCAAAAGAACAGCTTTCAACAAACAGCTCTCCATTTTTCAAGGAGAAAAGTGATGGTCCTAAAAATAGACCAAGATTATCCAAACCGAATAACACGGGTCCCAGGAGGAATAGAAAAGGTAAGTAACCTTGAAATCATAATTAAGGAAATAATTGGGGAAACATTTCCCAGATCTATAAAGAGAGCTTAGCAGACAAATGGAAGAAATACTCAGAATTCTGGCCAGACGTGTCCCTAAAAGAAAAACCCCTGATGCCATGTAATTACCAACAGTAAGAACAGAAAGATACACAAAGAAAACAGAATGCCAAGAACAAAGGATAATTAATTGGGAAGAGAGTTAAGGGAGCCAGCAAGTTGTACAGAGGGGAGAGACCTGGATTTGGACTTAGCAGATTCAAATAGGATCTGGCTCTGTCACTTCGTGGACATGAGGCTTATTCGCCATGTTGTCTTGGCCAGCTGACACCATCTTGTTAGTTACGTCATCTACGAATGGGGTTGGTTATATAGCCTCGTATGGTAGTCACGGGGATTGGGTGAGATAACCTACATTTGTGGTTTCCAAACATACCCAGGCTGCCAGGGGAGGTGACAAGCTGAAAGGAGCTAGGCAGGGAGAAGGGCACCTCCCTTCCCTGACCCCCACCTGCCACTCCATCACGTTACTTCAAATACATCTGCTTTGCATTATTAGTCTTCTTTGTGAGACTTTATTTGCAGAGAATGTTCTATAGTAGAATAATTTTATTATAGCCAGATGCCTATTGAATCTGCTAACTCCAAATCCAGGTCTCTCCCCTCTGTACAACTTGCTGGGTCCCTTAAACCCTCTTCCCAGTGAATTATCCTAACTACTAACCAGAGTGAGGGTCTTTTTTTTTTTTTTTGAAACAGAGTTTCACTCTTGTTTCCCAGGCTGGAGTGCCATGGCGCGATCTTGGCTCACTGTAGCATCTGCCTCCCGGGTTCAAGAGATTCTTCTGTCTCAGCGTCATGAGTAGCTGAGATTACAGGCATGTACCACCCGAGCCCAGCTAATTTTGTATTTTTAGTAGAGACAGGGTTTTCCCATGTTGGCCAGGCTGGTCTCAAACTCCCAACCTCAGGTGATCCACCTGCCTTGGCCTCCCAAAGTGCTGGGATTACAGGCATGAACTATCACAGCTGGTCGTGAGGGTCTTTAATGACCTGGGAAGAGTAAAACTAATATATTATGATAAATTCATTCACACATTCATCAAATATGGATTTTACCTGGAGCTGTTCTAAGTACTAAAGATTGTAGCCATGCAGCCGGGTGCAGTGGCTCATGCCTACAATCCCATCACTTTCAGAGGCCAAGGCAGGAGGATTACTTGAGCACAAGAGTTCGAGGCTACAGTGAGCTATGACTGCACCATTGCACTCCACACCTAGTGACAGAGCAAGACCCTGTCTTTAAAAAATAAAATAGATAGATAAAGTGGTGATCATAAATTATGGGGAAAACAGATGGTCAACATACTAATAAATATATAACATGTCAAGTGCCATGAAGAAACAAGGTGAGGTCAAACGAGTAGATGATTGACAGTGTTATTTAGCAGGTGGTTAGGGAAAAAACTTTGCTGATGAAATGGTATTTGAACACACATAAGGGAAAGAAGGGTTGAACCATGCAGACATCTGGTGGAAGAACATTCCAACAGAAGGAGGGCAGAGAGGGAGAAGAGAGGAGATGCATGGGCAAGACCTCGTAAGACCTTGCTAGTGCAGATTTCGTTCAAATGCACTTTTTGTTTCTTCTATGAGGCCAATGAGATGAGGAAGGACTAGAGGGTTTGGAACAAAGGAAGTACATGATCTCCTTTGCATTTTAGATGGATCATTCTGAATGCTGTGGGGAGACCAGAATCCAAGGAGTCAAGGTTGTATATAAGAAACCATTCAGGAGGTGAGGATAGAAACAGAAGTAGAGAAGGAGGGGAGGAGGTGGTGAGCAGGGCACAGATTCAGGAGGAACTCAGAGATCAGAGCTGGCAGCATTGTGGATGGGTTGAATTTGATGTAAGAGAGAAGAGTCTAGGGTGGCTCTCTAGAGTTCTGGGCTAGACAACTGGTAGAATGGGGCTACTGAGATAAGAAGATGGGAGGTGTTAATTTGGGGGAATTTTAGCAGGAAAAGAAGAATCAAGAATTTTGTTTTGGTACCTTTAAATGTGAGATACCCCTTTGACTTGGACGAAGAGATAACCAGACAGTTGGAAATGCAAGCCTGGGGTTAGGGAAAAGTGAGTTAGACCTCAACCCATAGGTTTGTCTTTGTCTATTTTGTGTTGCTATAAAGGAATATCGGAGGCTTGGTAATTTATAAAGAAAAGAGGTTTATTTGGCTTATGGTTCTGCAGACTGTACAAGAAGCATGGCACCGGCTGGCATGGTAACTCACCGCTGTCATCCCAGCACTTTAGGAGGCTGAGGCAGGCAGGTCACCTGAGGTCAGGAGTTCGAGACCAGCCTGGTCAACATGGTGAAACCCCATGTCTATTAAAAAATATCAGAATTAGCTGGGCGTGGTGGTACACACCTGCAGTCCCAGCTACTTGGGAGGCTGAGGCAGGAGGATTACTTGAACCCAGGAGGTGGAGGTTGCAGTGAGCCAAGAGTGTGCCACTGTACTCCAGCCTGGGCAACAGAGTAAGACTCTGTCTCAAAAACAAACAAAAAAAGAAGCATGGTGCCAACATCTACTTGGCTTCTGGTGAGGCCTTTTGTACTGTATCAATATATAGCTGAGAAGGTCAAAGGGGAAGACACACCAAACCCAAGGAGGGTCCTAGTTTTAAAACAGCACACACTCTCAGGAATGAATCCATTCCCCCAAGAACCAACCCAGTCTCGCCAGAGCAAGAACTCGTGCACTATGGAGAGAACAGCACAAACCATTCATGAAGGATTTGCCCCCATGAGCCAAACACTTCCCTCTAGGCTTCACTTCCCAATACCGCCAACTGCGGAATGCAATTTCAACATGAGATTTGGTGGAGACACACAATCTGAATCCAAACCATAGCATGGCTTCCCTTGCATGAAGGCTTCTGAGTACAGCCAGCCTGGGGAAGCCTCTAGAAATGGGGACAAATGGAGACGAGGTCTGTTAACATCATTTATCAAGGACCACTTTTTTTTTTTGAGATGGATTCTCACTCTGCCACTCAGGCTTGAATGCAGTGGCATAATCTCAGCTCACTGCAACCTCCCCCTCCTGGGTTCAAGTGATTCTCACACGTCAGCCGTTCCCATAGCTGGGACTACAGGCGTGTACCACCACACCCAGCTAAGTTTTGTATTTTTAGTAGAGGTGGAGGTTCCCCATGTTGGCCAGGCTGGTCTGGAACTCCTGATCTCAAGTGATCCACCCCCCTGGCCTCCCAAAGTGCTGAGATTATAGGCATAAGCCACCGTACCTGGCCTCAAGGACCACTTTGGACGTATAATCTTTAACTTACTGTATCTGCTACCATGGTAAAAGAATGAAAGTTACCCCAAATAAGTAATTTAAATATTTTACTGTGCTCTTTTATAATACCACGAAAACTCAAAGGGAAATGAGAAAAACAATTGTGTTTCCAAGGCACAGAAAAATATATCAAAAAGTAGAGATTGGGAAGAATATGACTTCAATGGAATATCTCCAATCTACTCTAAAATTAGGGTTCAAAACGGAGTTGTAGGTTCAAATATGTCAATTTGATTTCATTAAATAGTTTAATTACAAAACAATACTTGGCTGATAGAAAAAGTCTTCTTCCGGTTGCATTTAAATAGAAATAGAAAAGCTCAAAGTATTGAATAGAAAGAATATCTGTGATTGGAGAAAACAAGGAACTTCATTAAGTGGTAAAGAAGACAGGCTGAAGAAGCAAAGGATAAATGCAACGATAC